TCATTTGAACCGAAGCACTGCAACACCCGCTGAGTACAACGATAGAGCTTGAAAGATCAAAGACAATTTTTAATATAACTCCGACTGGATTCGTCTGAAAGAAGAAAGTCATATACACCTAGGATGACTTCAGGGTGAGTAATTTATGGGCTAATTTAAATGTTTGGGTGAACTAACCCTTTAAGCCTTATTCGAACGGTTATTGTTTCTCATGTGGATGTCTGTAAAATTACATTTAAATGTCACCTCAGTGATAAAGCTCCTGGATTTGGATGGAGATTTATTCACAGTGGAGACGCGAGTTCTGTGATCTTACAAACCCGGGAACGCACTGCTGACGTGGTCAGTCACATGGTTGTCTGCTGTAAATAAAATGTCGCATGCTTGGAATAATGAGAATACATTCATATTTAATAATATCCTATTAATTATTTGATTATTTAAATCTCTCGTTTAAAATTTTGAAAATAGACACGCTAGAGTTTAAATGGTTTTCTGTCTTGTATTTTATCTCTTAAAATTATGGATGTCATTAATGTGGAGATTAGCATAAATAAGTTAATGCAACCTCTTATTTACGTAAGATAAACATAAAGCTGCTTGGTTTATATTTTTATGTATATAATTGTATACAGTATAATGCATATTTTAAAATTGTATTGCAGACCTGATGCTGCCATAATAATGACCCATTTCAAATGTTTACGTGCTTCTCTTTTTTTCTTTTTGTTCTTAACAGCTCCCACTCGCTGTGGTGGAGCAGTTATGAAATATAATTCTTGTATACTTTCCATCATTTGAGTAATAAATATGCATGCAAATTACAGCGTAGTGCAACAGTTACCGAGTTACCGTTCGGTGTTCGGCAGTGGTCAAAAACGATTTAAACAGTGAATTTTGAATTGATTTCTTCTTGTAAACTCACATATGAATTCAGACCGCAATTAAATTACACCACGACCTTGGTGTTTGTCAAAAACAGTAGGTAATTCAACCAGGGATTTTTACACGCGTGGTGGGAGAAAAACGCCAACATTCTGCATTACCGACTAACCCCTGTAAATGTTGAAAATAGCTTTCGCCCCCATGAGAAACAATTACCATCCAAATCAGGCTTTACTAACCAATGGATCCTTTGCAGTGAATGGGTACCGTCAGAATAAGAGTACAAACATGCTGGGATATGCTTATGAGGCCTAAAATATGACCTAGTTAGGCAGCTCACTTGGAACAGGGTTTTTTTCCCCCTGTGCTGCCGTGCCTTCTTTTCTGAGTTTTTTTCAGTAAGTAAATCTAATGAATCATTTGAATTTTAGGAAATTCTATAAAAAGTTGGGACAGCAAGCATGGATTGTGGCGACCATTACTGTTACGGAGTTTCTGATCGTGGTCAAATATGATCCAAACACCATTATGCTGCCAATTCCCTTCTTCATCACACAGTGCTGGACACTCGGAATCGTCTTCATCTTCTTTTGGACCTTGTGGCGGTTCTTCATCCGGTAACCTGCAAATCAGCTCTGTCAACATAATTACAGATAGCAATATAAAATGCTGATTTAGTCAATTATTATTAATAAAGGAATGTGTTACGCAAAATATAATTTGACTTTTTATCAGAAGGTAAATCATATCCAAATAGTAAAAATATATCCTCAAAATAAATGATGAAGGTTCTGTTCAGAATGGAACACTAGCGTACTAATTACTTGTAGACTTGCCCAATATATGCTATTTTGCTTTTACTATTTTTAAGAATAATATGTGTAACAGTGGGCAATATTGTTCTTGTCAATCAACCTCACCACTTTGCATGAGTGGCATCTAGTTATCAGTCTTTGATAACTTTTTCCTCTTAAAATGTTTTGAAAAATTAAAATTAAAAAATTGACTACAGATACATTTTATACAAACTATATATAACCTGCAGCGCACAATATTGGATCTATACTGCACACAGTATCCAATTTTTCAGTAAGCCTAAATATAAATTTTTATTATGAATGTTTTATTTTATAAATTTATTTATTTATATATAAACACATACTCTATATAATCTGCAGCATATAATACTGCATTTACACTGTGTATGTATGTATGCATGTATGTATAATTAGAAACTGATCAGATGTCCTGACTAACATGTTAATTGACCAAGTCTTCTGCATTGACAGTGACATCACACTCCGATACAAAGAAACACGCCGGCGCAGACAGGAAGGGTCTTCGGAGCGGGACAGAGTCCCTGGACACGCCGACGGCAGCAATTTGGCCACATCAGGGCGTAGTAAACTAAACGGCAGTATGGACACAGTCCGACACAGGAAGTCATGAATCCATCCTTGCACACACAAATAGCCATGCGCTGCACATCGCATCTGGACACATGTTTGTGTTTATAATCTTGTACAGATCATGCCAACGCTCATGGTGTCTGTCGAGCAGCATCCAGACAGGTGATGCCATCATTTTCTCTGCTCACAGAGAGGGTTGTTGTATATTTTAAGAAAAATATGTCTTTGTAGCTGTTACATAGGTGAGGCGTTTAGGGTTTGGGGGTCCACTTTCCCTCTGGTTTTGGGTTTAGTGATCGGTGCTATGCAGGAATACACATTTCGATGCAGAACACTATGCAGTGAACTTACAGTAGAGGAAGTGCACATACAGCCATTTATGAATAAAACCATTCTTTTTAAGTTACATTTAGCAGGTAGGAACACAGGAAATAGTTCCAAAACATCCTGCATGAACTATAACACTATTTAAAAAGCTATAAGAATGTAATTATTTAATCTGCTGTGTCCTTCTGCTATGCTTAGGATGCTAAAGGAAGTTAGCGTGCCTGTTACACAAGCACCTCACACACGGACATTTCTTCGGACCTGTTTAACACGGGTCAGTGCCGTGACTGGACCAAAATCGAAGAACTTTACTTTCCATTTGCATGCGTGAATGTGTGCGTGAGACCATAACGGCCAAAACATTCATCATGCTGATGCTGTTTTTATTTCTGCAGGGAAACCACATACTGAAACTTAGTGTTTTGGGTTTGATAAATAATAAAAAAAAAAAATCAGGAAGTCATATCGGATCCGGGCGCTGTTCGCTTCTGCTCTTTGCAAGTTTATTGGTCTCATACGAAATAAAGCACGCCAGGATGGCAGATGAAGGATTGCTGAAGTGGACAGTTATTGTGCTCACATGTCAACATAAAGACAGTGTTTATGCCTTCCAGAGAGGTGAGTTCATGATTTATTCACATCCTGTGCCTGTGCTGATTTATTAGAAAGAGCGTTTATCTACGTTAACGTTCTTTAATTGTTGTTTTTATTGAATCCATTTGGGCTTGT